TAAATATTAGAAGTAAAAATTATTTAATAATTAAATAGTTCTTGAATTTCTTTTATAAGAATAATTAATAAAAAGAATAAAATAAAATATTTTTATATAAATTATTAGAAAATTAATATTATAATAAAGAAAATTATATATTTCTTATTATAAATTGATAAAATATTAGAAAATTTAGAGAATATAAAATAATTCTTTCTGCTTAATCTTGCTAATAGATATTAATAAATTAGAATAAAAATCTTTAATATAGTAAAGATTATCTTTATTTTATGAAAAAAATTTTATAAATTTAATATAATTCTATTTAATTTCTATAAAATTCTTATTATCATTTTAATAGAATTTTATAATAATCTATATTAATAATATTAATATTTATTCTAAAACTATTTATAATATTTATAAAAAGTTTTTCAGTAAATTAGAAAATAAAACTAAAATTAAATACAAAAAAATATAATTTTGTAAGAAAAAATCTACTTTCTTGAATCATATAGTAATTAGTTAAGATATTATAACTGATTTATTTACTATCAAAAGATTCAAGAATTTTTATAACTATATATAATTTATTTATTTTATTTATTTCTTAAGTTAATAAATTATTATTATAAATTCATCAAAAATATTTACAAATTATTATATTATTATTTTATTTATCAAATAATATTAATTTTGATTAGAAAAAAGAATAAGAAAAAATATTTAAAAAACTCAAAAGATAACTTATTACAGTTTTAATCTTGATATATTAAACTTTTCTTAGAAATTTTTCTTATATATACTGTAAATATCTCTAATACAGAACTAGAAGTGATAAAAATGATCGAAATTGAGAATATATAATTATTTATACTAGTATTTTACTTAAGATAAAAGAAAATTATTATAACATGGCAGAAAAAAAGTATTAGTTATAATTTGAAAAGTAAGATAATTTTAATATTATCTTCTTAAATCTCTCTTTATATCACTAACTACAATATTTTATTAACTAGTTACCAAATAAGTTAATCTTAATCTATAAGTTTCTTATTAGATAATAATAATATATTTACTATCTTTATTATCCTAAAAGACTTAATTAAAATATAGAATATAGATATACTCTTTATATTTAATTAAAATTAAAAAGAGCATGAATAAATCTAAGTATTAAATAAAATCAATCAGATAATTACCAGAAATAAAATTTAAATACTAAAAATAGATCTAATTAATTAGAAATATTCATAAAATAAGCAATAAAAATAAATATTTATAATAATTTATTAAATTATCTAAAAAATAAAAGCTAGCCTGTAGACTATATAGAGAAATAATAATAACAAATCAGAAACTAAGTAAAATATTATGATATAAGAAGGATTATTATACAAGATTAATAAAAAAACCAAGTAATTCTCTATAAATTTTAAAGAATATAGAAACTGAAGTTAATATTTAAATTGTCGAAAGGAATATTCAAATTATTGTTAGACTCATACTTGTAGTTTCATACTCAATTCAGAAGTTAAGAATTGACGACACAACAAGGGTCGCTAGATGAAGGATTTATACAGAACGGTTTCATTATGGTTCTAAATGTCTCAATGCCAATCTACACGGAGATTGTGCAATCAGAGAGCAAAGAGTTCAAAAGGGCAAAGGTAAAGTCTTATTTAATCCGAATAACAAAAGTAATAGCCAATTACTGACAAAATAAATCTCAATTAAATAGCAAAAATAACTATACTAATTCTTCAATAAAATTCAAATAATAATTAATCCGAACCACAATCTAATAATCAAGAATCAAACGTGATTCATCAATTTCGTATAGCCAAAACGTCGATTTTGTTAAGACGCAAAAGAAATAAAAGCCGAAGCGCTGTTAGGTGAACATTAAAATAATTTTATTTATTTTCTTCAAACCACACTGACTTGTCTCTCTGACTTTCGAGCGCTGTCCTTTATATACAATTTGTTTCCTATATAGCTATCTACACTACCATCTTAAGTTACTATTAGAATTCGTGGGTAATAAATAAAAAAGGTACTTCTTAACGAGAACTCTATATATACCAACTTTCAGCTAAATTTGTTAGTTAATAGGTCCCGAAGTACAAAATAATGCTAATAAAGAAATAGTTGAATTATTTTTGCTAGCATTAATTTGGTACTTCGGGATCTAGTAGTTAAACGAACCTGGTATGTAGATAGTTCCCATCAAGAATCACATTTTTATTAGGTCAATCCTTTCTGATAACAAAACTGACTGGAGTTAAAATTTCACTAATTAAAAATACATGAAATCATGTAGATCACTCATTTTCGAAGTTCTCTAGGTTATTAATTTTAAAATGAATATAGGAACCAAGATACATTTAATCGATATTAGAGTCACTAGAATTTTTTTTGTAAAATTTTTCACTTTTCGTTTCTTTCGCAGGTCACGTATTCAACTTTGGTAAATCTTTCAAAAGAAATCCATTCGAATATGTTTTTAAATTTATCATTAATTTTGTTGCATTCTTTTATTAGATTGTCAATATTTTTATTTCCGCTAGACAATTCATCCCTATAAATTCGTTTGTGATATTTGAATAGTCATCACAGAGATGAGTATTGTGAATTAAATACCATCGCAGTATTCATCTTCTTGACAATATTTACACTCATTACAATGATTTGATTCCATCTTTGAGTTCAGTGGATAAAATGTGTGAATTGGTTGAAATGATAGAAACAAAAGAGAGATAATCGTTGTCTTTATATAGTTACGTATGGCGTATGTAGCGATAGGGATTCAAATTCTGTGTGCAACTTTTATTGCAGTTCGTGGGCATGTGTTAATGTTTTTATCGCTAAGTTACACATTTGATTAGTTTTAATTAATTCAAAACACAAAAACAGGGAACTAATGAAATGAAAACAGTGATGATTTATTTTAATTCATACAGTCAATTTCATAAGTAACTGACCACTCATAGCTTTGTGAAAATCATGTGTAATGTAGGTGCTATAGTAAAAACGTATCACCTGATAAATGTCTCCAAGAATAGGTTAGACAAAGTTGTTTCATGTTCATAACGATAAGAAAGGGTCTCTTTTATCGTACATGTATGTACATAACATTAATTAAAAATAATTACTAATAAAGATGATGAGGTCTATTTCTCTTAATAATATAAAGATCTGCTCAAGTCAAATTATAACTGCTCGTGCAAAACCATTTTTTAGGGATACTAATGTCGACGCTACATCCCATCGCACGCAAATTTTTGATCGTCCTGGCAAAAAAATCCGACAAAAAAGAATGAAACAAGTTCTTAAATCAGTACTAAATGTTTGTGAGTTAATTTTATATATAATCTTGATCTCAATTCTAGCTCTAACCTTCCTTAAAATTGACCCTACCGTTAAATAATATTACAGTAGAATATTCTGGGGGCTGCGCCATCAAAGTGGTTAAATGCATATGTAGAATCTACACCCTGCAGAAAAGAGATAGTTTTGCTACATGTACAGTACATGTATTTGGATTCTAAATTTTCATTACGTCCAATTAGAGCAGGATGTGCATTCTTTATTGGTTATTGACAAAAATTTGCACACACTCCTATTGGATGAATTCTGGTCCAGAAGAGATCGGCGACAAATTGATACATGTATAATTATTGGTATCAAGTAAAAACAACTTGATGCTGTGAAGAAAAAAAATTACTATGATATAAAGCAAGCTTGCTGATTCTTATCAATGCCATAAAATTAATTATGTTTATAAAAAATATTTTTTCTGAAAGCTCAAGACTATGGGAACTGTCTTTTCGATCGCTGTTCTTCTTGGAAAATGTACTGTACCTCTGTTACACTCATATTTAAGGCGAATATAATTTTTTACTTTATCAGCCCTTGGCGGTAGTGTTGTCAATTGATTGATGCAATCGATTGATGCAACTGTAGTTGATCGGCGGATAACAATAGTTACAATTAATCGATTATCATAGATCTAACGAAAATGCTAATAATGCTATTTATTACTATTACATGTGCATGTATTTACATGTTTTTCATTTATTTATTATTCTATATTATCTATTGAAATGAGGAAATATTGAATCAAAACATGCTACGCTTTGATAATTAACCATAACTGAATCCAGCCGATTTCGTTTGGCAATTACATGATTCCCAGCGTCAGAAAAAAGATGCTCATTAGGTACACATGAGGCAGGTATCATTAAATATGTTCGGGCAAGTTGTTCCGATATAGGAAATTTCAGTTTATTCCCACTTCCAAACAAACTAGTTTGCTTGGTACCAATTCAAGCTTAGGTTCATTATTTGAATTGAAAGCTCGAAGTCAGTTTAAAATTCGTTTAATTTGTGATAACTGCAATTAAACAATCATAATTAATTATTATTGTTGAGATAATTGTCGATGTATAATCGAATAGTTATCAATTAAAAATCATTATTGTTTAGTTGGCAACTTGATAACACTACTTGGCGCACAACAATAAAAAGCCCTACGACACATGATTTTTTTGTGGTCAAAATTTACTTGTATATCGTAATCACGGGTATCAATAGAATTCGCTTATAGAATTATTGCTCTAATGATGATGTAAAAGTACAGCCGATAAGAATATTTCACAACAAAATGATAATGACCAATTAGATTTGATCATAATTTACTTTGTCCAATTATCTTTGATATTTAGTATCGTCTGAGGTCGTGTGGTATCGAGTGATTGCATATCCGTCAATAAATAGGCACAAAGCATTCCTGTTCTAACCTTTTTTATAATTCATTAAATAGTAACCATATTGTGTCATGGATTGGCTCATAAATACCTGTGGTATACGAGAATAATCCACCAATTTGATAATAATCAAGATACATTTGGAGTATCTCAAATAATCTGCAGAGTTTATAATATTAGTCGCTTCCAACTTTGTTATTAAATTAATGCGTAAACTTCCAATAATTCAATTACTCAATTTCTTCAACGATGTCGCGCCAAGAGATAAAATTCCTTAAAACTCACAAAAGAGTTCATTCATCTCATGATATATTCACTCTATTCTCACCCGAAATCATTGTTCATATTCTTGGTCAATTAACGCCCAGTAATATTTTTGCTGTCGCATTGGTAGGAGTTCAGAAGTGAATTGAATATTCAATGACATGTACATTCAATATCTACATGTAATATGTGTTCTCTTTATAGGTTAACAAGCATTTATGTGAATATACGCGAGACAATTATCTATGGCATCTTGTGTGTTTGCATCAATTTGGCGATAGTTTTGTCAAGGAGATTATTACAAATTTGAAAAATAGTTCTAACCAAATTCAATGTAATTGGAAGCAAATTTGTATTGAGCAATGTAAGTAGACTAATTTTGTCTGGCTTTTTTAATTTTTGGTTCTAATGTTTCTTTTTGCGACTTAAAAAGACCGAAAACCCGCTTTCCTTGCTGACAAATGCGAAATTACTTCTTTTTGCTACGAAGAATCCGGGATTGTTAATACCCATACAAGAGACGCATACATTGTGAATTATGAAAAAAGGTGAATAATAAATCCAATTATAAATCGATGCTGGCCATATTCATTATCTAATAAGTTATTTTAAATAATCAACCACACAGTAAATGTGGAAAAACTGTCCTAATCCCTTCACAAGACGAGCGGCTTCATTTTTTAAATGTAAGCAATATATTGTTATTGTTACTGCGCGTATCTTATACTGAACTAATTTAAATATTACCATGTAGTTATCAACCGTACTCAAAAATGTTCCCGCTGGGACGTATCGTGTTATCTGGAGGATGTGTGTGCATCATTTATCAGTGTTAAAAGGGACTAGATTCATAACAAGAGTTGATTATGAAAACAACGATAATGATCATAACGATAATATTAATGTAATAATTTACATTTTGAATCTAATCCATTTAATGAGTTGAACTACAAACTGAATTGAATTGCATTTATTTAATATAGAAACCTAAATTTGTGCCCAAGAAATACGTTTACCAACCAAAATACTACGATTACTCGGAAAACACGTTAGAAAAAAAATTCGTCGATTACCAATTACCATTTCAACTCGAAATACCATCATTTAATAACAAAACTCAAAATTGTAATGTCTACGTAGCGTTCGAATGTACAGCAGGTATGCCATTGTTTGCCGGAAAACTGGTAAGCGTACACGTCTATATATATATGAGTTTTCCGAATGAGGGAAAATATAAATTTTAAATTCGAAATTCTCTTCTTATAGCAATTCGATTTTGTTTATTTAAATCCTTGTTGTAATTCGTCCTCACATAAACACGGGATCAGGAAAATATGGTTGAAAACTAAACATAAACTTGCATTATTATGCAAATCGTGTTCGGTTCATGATCACATGTAAATCATAAACCAATAAGAAATCGAGCAAAAGATTATTTGATATTTATATACTATCCACAGTTATAAGATTTAATTATTTTTCTTTCAAAATAAGTTTGTCTTCCTTTATAATAAGTTTCTGTTACATCCAAAAATTTTATCGAGTATAAATTTATTAGAAATAATAAGTTAGATCACATGATTTTCATTATTATAAAGGAATATTATTATTATTATGATTATCATTATTTATGCATTATCTCTCTATAAGAACGCTCTATATAAGAACAAATTACTTATGAAACCGATTTTTCAAAAACAAGCTTATTATAAAGTATATTAAAATTTTCCTGTCTAATTATAAATTTTTATAAGAACCAAATTTTTTATGTCTTCTTATCATGTTCTTATAGAGAGATATGACTATATTATCATTATTATTTGTTACTATATCGTTATATTATTTTATATGATACAAGAAATCTATACTCAGCAATAGGAATTAGATATTATTAAAAATCTATAAAAATTTGTATAAATAAAATTTAAAAAAAATAAATTAGTAATATTATTATTTAAGATATGCTCTTTTAAACTACCAACCAAATTTAAAATAATATTTATATAAATTTTTTTATATCAGATTAAAATTGAAATAAAATTTTTATTATATGTAATATATTTTATTGGCTAATAAATTTAATAATTTTCTATTGATCAATAATTAATCATATGAATGTATTCCTGATTAGTTTAATATAAAATAGTATATATATATATCTAAAAATCTTATTAATCATCATATATAATAAAATTTTTATTATATAATATCAAATTATATTAAATAATATTTATATTAAACAAATTCTTATCAGTTCTTATTTTTAATATTATTTATTAATTAAAAATTATAAAATTTTTTTTATAATAAAAAATTATATTATTTTTATAAATTAAATAGTTTTTATTATATAATTTTTTAAATACTTAAGTAATAATTTCTATTAAAATGATATATATATTTAAAACTTATTTATATATAATTATTAAATTAATATTTATATAATAATAATAAAAGATTTTTTAATTTTATAATTTTATAAAATTATATAAAATTCAAATAATTATAAAAAAATTTTATTATAAAATATTATATATAATCTATTTAAAATCTAGAATTATTATTATAAAAAAGATTAATTATAATTAATTAATATAAATTTATTTATTTTTTATATATAATTTAATTAAATTATAAAGTTAAAATTAGAAATAAATAAAAATATTTATTATTATTATTAAAATTTAACTAAAATATATAAAATTATAAAATTAAAATTAGAAATAAATAAATATATAAATAAATTTCAATTATTTCTTTTTATATATTTTTTCTTAATTTATTTAATAAAATTTATTTATTTTTTTAATTTTATTTTAAATACAGTTTGCATAAAAAGTAATAGCAAGTATGTTTTTTATTTATAACTTAATAAGAAATTACTAAAAATTTATGAAAATTTGACATTATATTCTTTAAGATGATAAAAATAAAATTTTCTAAGATTACAAAGTATATTAATATAGTAATATTTTGTGGAATCATGTACTAAAGATAATAGACTGAGAACTATTCTGATTAAAG